ATATTTCATATATATATATATTTATATAAGAGAAGATATATCATATATATATATATTGAAATTTATAGTATATCTTAAAATTCTAAATATCTTTCGTATCGGTAAGATCAATATTTCGTACGGACGTAAAATATTCTATTTCAGCGGGAATCAATTATTTAGAGATCAAGAAAGGACGCCAATCGGTATAATTCTTCGATGAATCCGTACATCTCTAATAGAAATGATTCAGAAATTGACTTTCCATTATCAATTTCTATCAAAAAAATATATCAATTCTATAAAATTACGGAGTCAAAACCGAATCCGATCGTGATTCAGACGCGAATCTAAATATAATCCGAATTTATAATCTATATAATATACGAATTTCATCAATTTTTTGAAATCGTATTTATATCACCTACCACAATAAGATATTTTCAAGATCGCGAATTTGATAAATCTATCAAAATCTTTAGATTAGAATTCTAAGGTCGAGAAAAAAGCGCTAGAACTACTAATAATTTCCAAAATTCTAATCATACGAGACGACCATCGAGACGAGAGGCTTTTATTAAAATATATGGAAAAAGATCTAACAATAGGGGAGCGGGGAGTGCACGCAAAATCACGGAACGCAGCCAGCACGATACCGTTTCATTAGAGAATTTCTATTGAAGTACAGGCTTCATATTCTCAAATAAATAAACATGTCTGTGTTTTTAAAATTCCCGCTTCCTGATTCTGAATATGAAATAAGAATAGAATTCGAAATATTATTTGTTGAACCACAGAATTTTCTTATTGGCTATATATAATCAGGAAATGAACATTCAATCGGTTATCTGAAATCGCCGAGCTATGAAATTTTGAGAATTCTCATATTGAACCAATATTTGTAGTCATCTGAATCATGTTTCCCGCAAGGGCGGAAAGCCAGCGCTGCGCTGGTGAAACAGGGCCGAGTTCAGGTTTGCAGCTCGATCAAGGCCGAAAGCGCCATCTGCAATGCAACGCTATTATACGGAGTGGAGATGACAGGCGTCCGGAATGATTGAAGGTTGAAGCTTCTAGCTACTTGGAGGATCGTGGCACTTAGTTTGCGCATTCGACTTATCAATACCAGTATCATAAATCCAATTAGGCTCCCATTTAGGGTACTGATATTGTAAGCCTACTTATGCTCTACTTACTAAGCCCCCCGACCCTCCAAGAAGGGAAGAACCACAGTTCGGCTCAAGGTTTGAACAGATTCCGTGTCCGCAGTGTTGCGTGTGCTCTGAGGACTCTTAGCTTTAATTCCTGGACTCCGCTTCTCCAGGTCCCAATTAAGCCGCAAGACCCGGAAGTCTTGAAACCCTAGAGTGGAACCCTCCACCTTGCAGGTTTAGAGTCTTTGGCTTTGGAGTGTATCGGACACAGGGCGCCGCGAGAAACTATGCATGGGACTTTCCCGTTGTGGCAAAACTGAAACAGGAAGCCCCCTTTTACACATGGACTACGCATATGTAAACCCTAAACCGGAGAACTGCCTTTCAGGTGAATGGAGTTCAACACTTCAGGATCTTCAGGACGAATTCTGCCCCGACCCTTCAGGCCACTCTCGCCTCTCGAGATTTAATCACAGGCAACCCGCGCCCCTAAATCGAAAAATCTGAACCCCCCAGCTTGCAGAGCCCCTCAAGCTTTGTCGGCACTTCGGAAGGTGGCAAAAACCATCTTGCATCGTAGATTCGCAGGGCCGCCCAAGCCATAATCTTTGTCCCGATCATAGAGCACAATACCCATATAGGCCCCAGAGTAATTCGTTTTGGGGATGACCTTATAGGATTCTATATATGAACCACAAAACGCCAACCACACCAAGCCGCGACCTGGCGGGCTGCCGGAACCTCACGCCGCTTCTTGGGGCTGCTCCTGCCTGCGTCAGAGTTGCCCTTAAAGCCGCTTTGCGGTCTATAGCGCTTTCGGCTATAAACGGTTATGGGTTGAGGGCTAGGGCTATGGGGTTCAGAGTTCTACCTTCCAATTGACGGATCGTGGATACTTCTTCCTAGCATCAAAGACTGCTTTTGAGTGACTGGCTAAGGGGTTGAGGGTTGAAGGGATATGAAGCAACTGAAGCAACATGGCGACATCCTCCTTCGAAGTGTGGACATAGCCTTCTTATGTTGTGCTAGGACAGCCTTTCAGGTTCAGCTGTGAGGTTGATGTGAACTACTTGTTGACACAGACACGTGGATAACGGGAAACTCATGCAAAGGCGTGCAGACTTGCTTCTTCACATACCAACTTATGTGTTTAGTTGCTGAGTTGTTACTGCAATTCTTGCCTGCGTGCTACTGGCGATGGTAATAATCGGGCCGAAACGGAACAGTTACCAACCCCGTGGATATGTGCATTCATGCATGCACGAATCTTTGCGTGAATGCGTGCTGCATGCATGTGTCAGTATGTCAATATGTAGGTATGTAGGTCTGAGCCAGCAGTGCATGCATTTGCCGTGTCGTGCCATGCGCATTGCATGTTCGACCCTGGTTGCGGCGTTAATGTCCTGGCTGGTTGCAGACTTACTGGGTCTTGCCTGGAACGACACCGGAACACAGCAGTCGGAAATCCGTCGCGACAAAACACAAGGAGTCAGCCTCCCTGACAAGCCGACTGGAACACTGGCACTGACATGGTGTCACTGCGAACCCTGGTTAAATAGCCAAAAACAGAAACACAGACGAAGTGACCGGCCGTGCCACTAACATGCCATGCATACCTCTTACATTTGTAAGGGTCACCATACAAATTTTGAGAACAGCCATGCTGTGATTTGCAATCTGCAGCAGCGATGGATCCCCCAACCATGACCCTAACCATCCTCACCATCTTCACCATCATTCGGGAGAACCTGTCTCATCATCCTCTCCAGCGCACTCTTGACCTCCATCATGACGTTCGTGTTCATCTCCACCAGGAACACCATCATCAAGGATGCAAGGCTGCTCTAAGTGCCAGGCAGGGTGGACTGCTCCTCCTCGTCTGCATCGTCCTCTTCGGCCGCAGCCTGAGCCGTGAAGGTCCCAAGCCCAGTACGGTACCATCCAACACTTTGACCCCTAAAGCGGAATGCTGCCCAGAGCTATACGGGTAGTTGTCAAAATTAAGGTCCCTTTTTGGGTACCCTAATAATAGGTGCCGTACTATATTTGGGACCCAAAAAGGGACCATAATTTTGACAACCACCCCTGTAGCTTGAACCCCTTGGGGCATATCCGCTGGTTGCATGGCTCGCTCTTTCTGCTTGAGGGTCGATGGCGCCGTGACTAGGCGCGAGGATTTACGGTGAGGGCTGGCAGTGAACTCATCTACACTTTGGGCGTTCTTTGGATCCGGCTAGGGCCACATAGTCTAGGAGCTAACAAGGAAAGGCCTAGTGTTCAGGGTTCTGTGCATATGGGGCGGCCCGTTTCCCAGCTTCTACAGTACAAGAAAGCTATCAACACGCAGTCAGGTTCCTAGGCGCTAAAGCCTCGAATCCTAAACCCGTATCAGACCCAAACCCCTTAACCCTAAAACGCCCTCAAACCCTACACCATGAATGCCCCAAACCCAAATCAAACCACGAAACCCCAAACCCCAAACCAAGAAAACCCCTAAACCCTGATCTTATAGGAACCCTTAGGGGGGTAGGGGGAGGGGGGGGGGGGGTAGGGATCCTTCATGCCTGTAATAACGAGCTAATAAGGCCTATTTAAGGAAGTATCGTCCCCTACCCCCCCTAGGATCCCTGTGATCATGAGAACATTATTGAACCCTATAGTACCCATTCAAGGAGCCCTAAACCCTAAACCCCTAAGCCCTTATAGGGCCTATGATGATCCCTATAGACCCAATCTAGGTGGGGCTTTAAAGCTTTTGAAAACATTAATAAATAAAATCCTCTTAAGCCCAAATAAGGGAACATATGAAATGTCCCAAAGCCCTACCTACCAGGACCCTCCTTGTACCCTCAAATAAGAGTATATGGCCCCAAATAAAGGGCATTTAGGGTCTAATGGGGGGTAGATGGAGGGTCTAGGTCCTAGGTACTTGGAGGATCCTGGGACTTAGTAAGTAGGGTTAGAAGTAGCCTAATTGGGGTTATAAGTAATTAGAAGTAGAGTTACCCTAATTATAACCCCAGTTACTAAGTCCCATGACCCTTTAAGTAGCAATGGCGCCTGCAATGCTTTCATTCTGGCAGCTTCCAGCGCCTGGGGCCCGCGAGTTCCAGGGGCTTCGGGGTTTCGACTCGCCTTACCTTGGGTAAGTAGGGAATGGAAGGGTTCCTTTTAAGGGCTCTGTAGGGGTTTAGGGTTCCTTTAAAGGGATACTTACCTTTGGTTAGTAGGGAATGGAGGAATGGGGTACAGTTATATTTATATACTATAACTGCCATTCTTCCATTCCCTACTAACCAAAGGCAAGTCGCAGACTCGCGGAACGCAGGCAGGGCTTCGTGGGGTCGGGCTTGAGGAAACGGGTTTTAGGGCTTAAGGGCTTAACAATTTGTGGGATTAGGGCTAGGGATTAAGGGTTTAAG